TGAGGAGGCCCAGTGGCGCACGGTTCAACCCGCCCAGCCCAGCGTTTTGTTCGCACATTATGAGACCAAACCTCTCTCTCTCCCTCTCTTTCTCTCCCTCTCTCTCTCTCTCCCTCACCCATGACATTGTCCATTCCACCCTATACCCGGCCTATTGCCGAAAATAATTGTTGTTCTTTGGAGTTTCCACTCTGCTGCAGACGCTCGAAAAGCTCCGCTACAGCTGACGAGCATGTTTAATCAGCTGTGCGGGTTTGGGTTAACTGGAATGGTAGCAGTTTCGTCTTTCGAGCTGACCTCGCGTTTAAGCAGCGCAGTTATAAAGAAACGGACACGTTTGGCTGGATTTTCTTTAGGGATGTTCAGTTTTCCAATGAAGAACTTCCCGTTAAAAAAGTGCCCACTGTTACTATTTAACCGTATTATTATATCTGAGCTCATTTATATTGGAGAACATGGCAACATATAGAAGTCAAAAATAATGTGTATTTATATTAGCATGAATGGATATGGCTCAGTGATTATTACTATGATTATTGTTGTGGTTGTTGTTGTTGTTGTGCTTTTTTGTCTCGCAAGACGAGTTTGTGTACTTTTACACAGCATAGATACGACAGTATTTGTTTGCCTGGTATTATTATTATTATTATTATTATGATTATTATAGGGTGATACTTTTTAGCAACTTTTAGCACTTTTAGTATTTACTGTTAATCAGTACAAGTAAATAATAGTTTATATATATTTTTTTTTATTTGAATTGCGTTTAAACAAAAGATTAAACGCTTAAATTAAATATTTGGTTTATGTATAATCTGTTTATGGGCGCTGTGCTGTTATCAGCTACACAGTGTTGAGTTAGCAAAATTAGCACGTGAATAGCTGTTGAAAACACAGGTGCTCACAGCGTTTAAGCTGCCTGTCTGCACGCTATGTGCAAGAGGCGCGAGATCAATGCCCTCCTATGTGTGTGTGTGTGTGTGTGAGAGAGAGAGAGAGAGAGACTAACTGTGTTTATGTGTCAGAAGGAGAAGGAGCTAAAGTTTGTCTGGTGAGAGTTGGGGAATGTGTGTGTGTGTGTGTGTGTGTGTGTGTGTGTGTGTGTGTGTGTGTGTGTGTGTGTGTGAATCGATTGCCCTGTGTGGAATATCCGGACACTACTGAGTTGGAAACACTGCGGCTCACTGGATCCCAAAGGTTCTGAATGGAGTCTGAGACGGGCGCCTATAGCTCACTGATCCTGTATCACACACCTTCAGACGCGCCACCTTCATTTTTTTTAATCGCGCCCTCTTTAAGAAAGCCCATCATCGCGCGCAGCTCGGCGGAGGGGTCACGGCGGGAGAGCCTTCAGCTCTTCAGCTTTACTGCTGTCTAACAAATCCAGCTCTCATATAGCTCTGAAGACCTGCTCCCTAACACTGCCATAACATCGCCCCATATATGTCTCACAAATGTGCGCGCGCGAGCGCGTGCGCCTCCGTCCCATTAAACGGTGACAGGACAGATCAAAGATGCATCTTTCGGAAATATTCATAGTGAAACGGCATGTTTATGTGGAAAGAGTGCTCGTAAAGTGTCTCTGCTGAGAGAGCGACATCTTAATGAAGCAGCATCTTTATGTTTATGTGGACTGAGTGCGTTTCGCTACTGTAACGGTAATGTCCATAATGAAACATCCCTAAGGAAGCAGTGAATCCTGGGTAAAGTTTCCATGCTGGAATAGTCAAGTGAAAGGAAGTTTGCATTATTCAAATGTGTTACCTTAGTGCAATTCTGTCCCAAAGAAGAAAATGAAACATGAAGTTTGTGTTGATGTATTTTGTTTACGTTTTTTCACGTTTTGTTGACACGTTTGAATTATATATACATATATATAGTATTTCAATGTGGATGCTAGACTGAATATATACATACACATGTATTTTCAGCTTGACGTTCACGATAAAACACTGATTATTCTGGTTATTCGGACTGAATAATGGTAAGGTTTTCTTATTGGAACCGTGACTTTATCCACATAGACATAGTTAACTTCAGTTGCAACTGCAGCTCAACTCCAGTCCTCCACTGACTTACATAATTTTGTTTGTAACTTTTAATTTCGTAGCTCATATTCTGTCTTGCCTCATGCGTAACTGTGAGTACGACCCCGGAGCCCTCAGCCTCCCTTTTCCTGTCCATTCCGTGTGTTTTGTGATCTGTCTTTGGCAAAAGTAGCTGCTCTGCCTGGCCTGCACCGCTCCGCACCTCCGCGCCTTCAATCCGGGTCAGGGGGAGCCGGGGCTCATTCAGGACTGCATGAATACACACGAATAGCCGAGTTGGGTTCAGTTAACCGACGGATTCAGAGAAAAGAAACAGGGCAGCGCGGTCTTTTCTCGCTGCAGTCCGCAGCCCAATTGGGCTCGCTGGTCTCTGTGCGGGTAAGGTTATGGGAACAGGACAAATAATCCATTCTGCCACACGCACTATTGATGATACGCGCAGACGCTGCTCGCGGATTGGGGGAGCAACATAGCGCACTATTGTTGTTCCACTTGTCTCATATTCGCATCAGGCTCAATCTTTCCGTGCTCGGTCACGCGCCAACGCCGCCTCTTTTACCAAGTTCACTGGGATGCACGGTGTATGTTTTTATTTTAGATCTCAAGACGAACTGTGGAGAGATAATGCATGTAGCAGGAGATTTTTGGTTAGTTTTTGGAAACGCTGACATTCAGTTAGCTGTCTGGAAAAAGGCACGTGTGGCAGAAAAAATAACCTGTGGCAAAACTGCATTTGGGATAGTTTGGTATCTCATTGACTTCCATGGGCCAGAACGCTGCTGTGGGATAAAGCACAGCAGCCCATTACTCCCGAGTGAATGACACTAGTTTACCATTTGTTTAGCCTAATAGGTTCTATTTGTTATTGACTAAAAAACTCGCTCTGCGCTCGATTAATTTAATACACCGAGGCCAAGAGAACTAATGTAGACTGAGAGGATGGCAAAGATAGACATCAGCGATGGTGCCTTGGTGATAGGCCTATCTGTGCTCTGCAGATGGACTTCAGAGGGGAGAGCTCAGATGCAGATTCAGGCACCGATCAAACACATATTTTGTGCAATTTCTTAATGATTAGCACAATACAATCCCGAGTAATGTGTAGAACGCGTGGTTCCAGATTTAAGTTAAATGTATACCAATTTGCACAAATGAAAACGGTAGCGGACAATTTGCAAAAAAATCTTACTGAAAATTTTGAATCGCTGTTTCACACATGCAGAGAGAAGATACACGTTTATTATAAACAATGCAAAATATTCTAATTTTTTTCGTTCAGTGATGACTGAATGTTTGGAATATTCGAGAAACGACTCCATGACTCAGGTGTTTAGGGAAAAATATGAACACAGCATTTATCAAAAATAAAAAAAATAAATAAAAATAAATAAAAGAAAGAGAGAAATTGACAGATTGACAGTATATGTTTAGCTAATTTGCTATAGCCAAGCTCTCCACACGTAGACAACTAAAATAATTGTGGATAGGAAATATAATTGTTGATGAAATGTTCTCATTTTAAAAGTTGGGCAAAAACTCTTAACTGTTTCTTTTGTTGCTGCGAATCGCGGTTAAATATGCCACGTGTTTATTAATATTTTTGTCATCATTTATCCTTTGTTGTTTTCGTAATTTTCTTGTTGCAACTTAATTTGAACTACGTTTATTTTATTTTTCAGAGAAAACCAACTGTATCCCACTAAGCACTTTTTTTCTTTTTTTGCAAGTGTCCTTATTGGTTGATATGAAAAGTTGTTGTGTGAATTGAGCTGTCTGTGGGCGGAAGGCCCGGGGAACGCTTTTCTCCCTGCACTACTTCTCGCTTTTGAATGAAAAGCCCTTTCAGTATGGCCACAATGGGAGATTGGGCCAAGGGAGGAGTCCTTGATAATTAGTCCATTTAATGGCGCGTTTACTTAATTTTTGTATTCATTAGTGACTACAGGCAAAAGGAGAGCGAGCTTCGTATCCTAAAAAAAGAGCTTCACGGTTACTATTTCACAGCACATCTCCGAGCTCTTCCGTCCACTGGTGTAGAAGTTAAGATACACAGCCTGTGTGTCAGAGGTGCTGCTCCAAATAATGAGCCAGAATGTCAGCACTAAGGCCCTGAGCACAACCCGACGAAATAAAAGACTTGATGCAGTTTTATACCAAAATGAAATACTGTATTTTTTAGCTTAGAAATGTATACATTAACATAAACACGCAAGAAAGTAACATTGAAGAATAAGCGCTCGAAGCTAAACACGAAATTGGCTGGATCAGTCGATCATATCCCAATTTTTACTTTCTTTTTCTTTTTTTAGTTGCCTTTCTTTTGCATAAACCTCGACTGGTCGTAAAGTTCTTCCAAGGTATAAAAAAAACAGAGAAACCAAACGCCTAGAGCACTTAATAGTTACGCTTTGACAAATAGTTTATGAACACCAAGTCAAGAAAAGTGAACAGGGATAGAAAAGACAATGGAGACGTAGAGCAATATTATATACAGGCATATTTCTACACATATATTACAGACTGGGAGAATGATCGCATCATTTAAGATATACATAATTCAATATAAAATCTCGAAATAAAAATAAAAATCTGATACAGTCATAACGATTCAGTTCCACATTTTTTTTGACCAGTACCCCACACAGGCAGTGACAGAAGTGTAGTAAAAAAAGGTGCTTACGACTCAAATGATTGTCTGATGAACATAAAAAGGAAAAGAGGATTGCATCCTGGCTGCGCGTCATCACTCGGACGAAAAAAATACAAATAAAAATAGAAAACAAAACAAATAAAATCAAACAAAAAGAGGCGATGGACACCGGATTCTGGTAATTCCCTCTTCTCGGTGGTCCTGGCAAAAACATCGAGAGAAGGGCATTTTCCTTCGTATAAAAAAAATTAGAAATAAAAAAGCTATTGATATATCATGCATGTGGTGGGGGTAGGGAAAGGCGTGGGGTCCATTGAAAGCGCTTGAAAAAAAAAGACGTGCTTTTCTTTTTTTTCTTTTCTTTTTTTTTTCTCAATAATTATCAGTTGGTCCTTTTTTATCTTCCCCGATATTTTTAAATGTTTGTTCAGGTCCGTATTCCCTGCAAAATATCTCTCTTTCTCTCTCTCTGCGTATCATACGTCGCACTCGGAGTCACTCGACGTTACTGAGAGAATGGACGTGGCCGTGTCCACGCGCTCCGTCATGCTGGACACGCTGGTGGTGGGACTGGCCGCGGTGGATGGAGACTCTGCCGAGCTGTGGGGGGTGCAGCCGGCCTCCGACAGAGAGCGCATGCCGTTCTGCCCTATTGCTTGGTGCTGGAGCCTGGAGGACGATAAAAACAAAAAAAGTTAGAGAATGAGAATCACTGGAATTATTACAGCTGCATATAGTTTTAATGCACTGGTCGCGAAGTTGACTCCAGTTTGACATTACAGTGGCGTGGACGCCCAAAACGCTCGTGTTTGAAACGGGCCTACCAGATAAACCGTGCTCGGTAGCCCGACTGCGTTTAGCCCCAGTTGACCAGAAATGACATAAAACACTTATTTGTCCATCACCAACATGTTCTGATAGCAAACCGTTAGCATATCGCTACGAGAGTTCCTCTGTCAACCTTTGTAAACAAAAAAATACCAAACTGTTTAAGCTGTTTGTAGCCTGAAATGACGTCACCCAATGGCTATTTTTGTTGTTGTTATTGTTGTTATTTTTTTACAATACCACGATCTCTACTCACGTAAACGACACGGACTCCAATGTAAACTGAAAAGATTCACTTTTGTCACTTTGATTTAAGCGCTTTGTTGATTCGCTCTGTTAGCAAAACAGCTAATGCCTCTTAAGCAAGGAGAGCTACTTTTCTCTTCTCACTGCTTACTCATTATTTTATCACATGAAAAATACACTGCACACACTTTGAGCAAGAGTGAGCTGGAATCAACTGGATGCCACAAGACTGAAGAATTGTTAGAAGCCACAAATGCAGTTACTGCCTTTGCAAGGGAAAAAATGAAGCATGCATGAGAAGCTGAAGCATGAGAAGCTGAACTTTTCTCCACTGAATAACACATTATTACATAGTACTAGTTTTATGGATGGAGTGAAATGTGCTACTGTGCAGCATTTGACGGTGTAGCCTGTTTTAGCACATGAAATGTCTAATAATATGTAAAGCCTAAAAGTAGTTGGTATGAATATGAATGCTAGCTCGTATTGCTACAACAAGGTCTTAATGCTTTGTAGAATTTTTTTGGACCACGTTAATTTAAAGCTACAAACATGGTGACACATAGAATAATTGTTGTCAATTGATGTGCTTAATTTTAATTTTACTTGTATAACGTTTGTAGTGTATCAGCTGCACGTAAACAGGATCAGACTTTCGCCGTTTGGGCTGTTAAAATGTTACAGACCGAGACTGAATGATTGGGAAATGAACAGCTGCTTATTTAAAACAATTATAGAATCCCTTTCTTTTAGTATCTGTCACTTTTTAGATATAATAATCGACGGAAAACAAGCAAACAAACAAACCCAAAACGTCGCCGAGCTGACCCCGCTTTAGCTTTTCTTTTTGAACACCTTTCTCAACGTAAAACAGTCCAGCCTGTTCGATTTTGACCAGTTTCTAGCGTCTGTATTTTTTACACCGCTCTTGGGCCATTTGGGAATTCCAGCTTGTCTTCCTTTAATCTCTCAGCTCCCCCCACTCCCCCCCAAAAAAGCCCCCAAAGCTCTGAAGGGCTCACCTGTTTTTCGCTGCCGCCGCTCTGTCTCTTTGCCTCCGGTTTTTAAACCAATTCCCCACTTGTGTAGGAGTGAGTCCAGTGGCTTGCGCCAGTTCCCTTTTCTTGCTCGGGTTTGGGTACGGGTCCTGTAGGTACCACTCCCGCAAGAGGCTGCGCGTCCGCTCCTTGAAACAGTGCGTCTTCTGCTCGCCGTCCCAGATGGTCCGAGGGAGCGGGAACTTCTTCCGCACGCGGTACTTGTCGACCGGCCCGAGCGGGCGCCCGCGCAGCTTCTCGGCCTCCTGGTAGTGCGCCTCGAGCCACATCGCCTGCAGCTTGCCGTGCGACTCCTTGGTGAACTTGTGGTTCTCCAGGATGTGGTAGAGGTCGCGGAAGTTGCCCGTGTGGAAGGCGACCACGGCCCGCGCGCGCAGGATGGACTCGTGCTTGTTGATGGCCTCGCACGCGCCCGGCGCAACGGGCAGCGACCACAGGAAGCGCCCGAGCCGCTCGATGTCGCCGGTCTCCTCCAGCGTCTCGCAGACGCTCGCCACCTGCTCCGCGGAGAAGTTGAGGGTCGGTAGCTGAAACATGGACAAGTCTTCGGGAGACCTGGCGCTGGGCGCGCTGTTCGCCAGGAGCAGGGGGCGATCAGCGAAGTTTGGCAGGAAGAAATGGGAGGGATAAAGCTCTAAAGGCGATCTGAAAACCATGGAAATGACCTGAGAGAGAAAGAAAATTATCGAAGAAAAAAAAAGAGGAACGCCGAAGTGCAGATTGAATGATTCAATAGCTATCGCCTAATGACACCAAGCCTCATAATATCTCCCCCTAAAATCCGCCGTGAGTGTAGCATTGAAATATTTTGTTTCGCTTTTCTATTGGTCTCCTTGGTGTCGTTGTAGGGTTGTCATGGCAGCCCTGCCAATCACTGTCAAGCGTGCCAATCATTAGCCAGTACGTAGAGGCTTTCACCACTTCTGCTGCACGCACGGGGGGTTATCAGGAACTGCAATCTCACCACCATCCTCCCTCCTACCCTCCTACCCTCCCTCCCTCCCTCCCTCTCTCGCTGCTATACCCTCCCTCCGCGGACTCGCGCGAAGCCGAAGCCAAGGCTCGCCTATTTGTTGAATGGAATGAGCAATTAGTGGGTGGAATATTATTGCGATCTTAACGAGACTCGTTAAAGCTAAAGAAGATATGTAGTAAAGAGAAGGCAGGGGTGGGGGCTCGGGGTGACAGCCATGGAGACGGAATCCACATTTAAATGAAGGGCTTGAATCGGAGTCTGCAACGCGGTTCACACTCTCCATAGACGAGCATATATACATATATCTATGTATACATTCCTCAGTAGGAGTGTGTCTAGCGCTTTCTAACGAGCTACGCTGTGTTTTCTTTTTTTTTCCTGTGCATTTTTCTTTAGGCTAAACGTGGTGATTCCTTTCTCTGTGAAGTCCACAAAAAAGTAGATTTTGACATTTTTCCTGACAAGGCTTTGGCTGTCATCCGCGCACATCCAGCGTGGACTGCTGCTGCTGCTGCTGCTGCTGCTGCTGTTGCTGGCTCAGCATCCCTCCGCTGATGTGCTTTAACTCAGAGGCCAAACACTAAACCCTGGTCCAACATGCGTGTGGACAGAAGCGTTTTAAAGGCCAATAAGGGCACCTGCCTCATTAAACGCGATGCAATTGAGGCGTTCTGTAACTGTAACTTTGTTTCAGTGTTCATAATTGTTCCTGCGCTGTACTCTTTTGGAAGCGGGGTGCATGCTTGGGACCACATCCCTACCTGTCACGAGGCTTGGGTGCTGGTATGGTTTTCAGGGCTTGCACTGGCCTCTCCACTGCATTCTATTTAGCCGGCGTTAAGATTTTTACGCGTTCACTCGATTATGAACAATAGTCGCATTGTGGGAGTGTGTGCATTAGGCGAGGTGAGACGCAGAATCTTAGACTTCGGCTTATCTGCCGCGCTAAAGCTGACATAATTACCTTAAGCTGTCTTTTGCTAAGACTCATTCAGGAATTCAAAACGCCTTTTCTTTTTCGTTTTCAATTTTGCATTCCACGACATCCTGTTTTGGTGGGAGCTCACAGCGACGGGATTAGAGAACCAAACGCGTACGTGTATGTGCTTTAACGACATTTGCAGTCTGACAACTTGATCTCCGCTCTTATCAGGTTTTGTTCTTTGCTAGGTTCCCACAGATGTGATGTGAAGGCTCAGCTTGTCCTCTCCTGCACCAACCCTGCTCGCTTTCCCCCTTCAGAACGAAACTTCCAGTGAAGCAATTCCAAGTGCCACTCTTTGGAAAAGCCTGGGTTGCCGTGATATTGAAATGCTGACCGCCGACCACTGACCATGTATTAATGTATACATGTATGCATGCGCTCCTGCGTTAATACCTCACTGCTTTTGCATCGCTCTTGCAGGTGCTGAACATGACCACCTCACGCGTCCACTTGGGCTTTTTGCCTTACTTTTTTTTACATGATTTGGAAAGCTGCCCACGGAAATCGCCAAGAAGTGAGACTGCGCGCAGAAGCCCCTGCTAAATCACTTTATTTAACATGGCCTTTTGTTTACGTTGAGCGTGTAATTAACACTCCCCCCCTCCTCCTCCCAAACGGGTTTATTCACCTGGGCTAATTGTCTGTTTATCCCCGAGCTTCCCCCTCTCCCGTCTTTGCGATAAGCAGCGGGGGACGAGCTCCCTCAATACGGCCCAGCCATTAGCTCCCTCTCTGTTTATTTAATCCCACACCGCCTCACATCACAATACAAGCGCGATTTACTCTAGATGTATCCCTTAAGCTCAACCTGGCCATGGATTTTTTTTTTGGGGTGGAGTGAACCAGCGCGCTCAAAACTTACTCTCACGCGCGCTTCTCTCTGCGCTTCTCGCTGAGCTTCTTGAACACGTGTGTCGTCACGGTGTGAGACGGGCGAGCCGGGCTGGCTGGAAAAAAAAGGTAAGGAAAGTTGGCTACATCTCGCTTAGCCCTCTATTCAAAACTCGCTTAGTCTTTTATCATCACGTTTAAAGCTGCGGCCAGCGCGCGGCTTCACGCGCTGCGGGCTTTGCGATTGCTCTTCGGCGCGTGGAGCAGGCTTGGAAGAATGGAAATCTCTATTTTTAAAACTTTTTGGTTTTGTTTTGTTGTTATAGGCCATTTGATTTTGTCTGATTGGGGCGGGAACGGCGCAGTGGGCAGTGGGACCACCATCACTTCCATCCGGCGCTGGGAAGAGCTTTATTTCCTCATCTCTCCAACTGAGCCGCACGTGGTCTGTAAAACTTATTTAACCTTCTGCATATTTTCGTTTCCTCTCTTCTTTTCTTCTTCGCTATCTTTTTATCCTCCTCTCTTTCTCTTTCTCGTCCCCCCCTTTTGTACTTTTTGTCTTTTCTTCCAGCTAAGCGTCTTGTGCTGTTTGCTCACTACAGTTTTTGTTTACTGCACGGCAAGTTTCTCTAAACGGACCCGTAGTGGACGCAGTTCGCGCACCCGAGAGTGGACACCACCTTCGCAGCCTGTAAGTTGCTGACATACAGAATTTGCATATGATCGATGAGAATAGTGTCCGTTTATGAGGAATTGGTCAGTGAAGTCTGTCGGAGCTTAAAGCAAACCCGAGCTGGGTGCCGCAGACGGCGCGTGTTGCTGGGGTTGTCCTCTACTCTCCTCTCCATAAATCTCCCCCATCCAGCCTGCAGCTCGGTGGGGTGGTCGGGATGGGGCGCAAATGCCCCTTTCTCTCTGCTCGCAGCCTCGCTTCCTTTGGTCTTGAATTCTTGCACGAGCGTAAATTTGCGCAGTTGTAGCATGTTTTGACCCTCTGCCGAGGCACCTGCGCCGATTGAAGCGAGTAGGCAAAATTCCTTTCATAAAATGTAACTGAGGCGCGCGCAAAAAGTGGATCTCAATTACATCCTAATTAGAATTAAGAAGCCTTTATTTTGACCCCCCTTTCCTCAGAGCGCCCTCATCACCAATGTTTATACCTCACTGGCATCACTCTCCGCAATTGATTATTTTAATAATTCAGGCATTCAGGTTTGCTATACTGAAGCAAACTCAAAACATTGCTTTGTAGATGTGCATATTCCACTCTCGGTAAGACTAACAATAAAAGTCACGTGATCAATTATCTGCTGCCTTCCTAATTTGTCTGCTGTAATATAAGGGTTTCACGTGCCTTATCGCTCTCGGCCCGTTTCCGAACTTCCGCTCTAGTCGATGACAAACGTTTTAGCCATTTTGTTAAAGCGCACCGTATTGGACCCTGAAGGTTTTGTCTCTCTTTTTTTGTGTGGTCTCATTAAGTGGGCATCCCGCGGGAGCTGTCCAATCAGGGCATGTGCACGGCCCGTTAGCGACATTTAATGAGGGCTCTCCGCGCGCCCACACAACGGCGCCTCCGCCTCGTCTTTACCTTGTGTCAACTCGCTCCTCCTAATGAAGGCGCTGGTGGAGCTTCTGCTGAATGGATGCGGGCGCCGGAACTGCAGGCCCTCTCTCTCTCTCTCTCTCTCTCTCTCTCTCTCTCTCTCTCTCTCTCTCTCTCTCTTCCGACGTCTCAGGCCTTTACTTAGACAAGACCCGTGTGTGTGTGTGTATATGTATGTGTGTGTGTGTGTGTGTGTGTGTGTGTGTGTGTGTGTCAGTGTGTGTGTGTGTGCGTATGTGTGGTGGTAGTGTTTTTTACTCCCTGAGCTCTAAATGAATAAAAACAGATGGGCGAGCACGCGCGGATGACGCGCCTCCAGATTATGTGACAGGTCAGCCACATGTTTAGCTACTGTACGGACTTTTATCGCTTTGCTAATTAAACTGGGTGTGGTGCTCTACCCCAGAAGGAGTCCCAAAGCCGGCTCTCTGATTTACCTGAAAACAAATCTGTCCTCGATGCTTTAGCATTTATAATTCACCCCCAACCCCCCATCTTAAAAATCAATTAGGAATCTCTGCGTTTAAACCACTGCAGTCCGGGTAACTCGGCGTGTCAGCAGGGAGCGCACTTCTGTAGTGTTGTTGTACTGATTCGCACCTTGCAGAGGAGGTAAAGTGTTCGTGCGGAATTATTCACTTCCTCTAGCGACGAGATGCCACCCAGCATTAAAGTAGCTTATTTCTCAGTCCATAAACAGCAAATTCCCCAGAGCTGAATTCACTCTTTCACTGGTGTCCATTCACTCTTTCACTGGTGTCCAGCTCAACTTGCATACAGGCGTTAATTTAACACAGTGCATTTTATGTAAAATTTATTTGTTTATTTATTTATTTAGTATAGACTTCTTATTTACTTTCGCACACTCTTAAAACACAGGCGCGTTGTGACAACACACGTGTTACTTTTAACTCAAAATGTGTGAAAACAGGAGCACAAAAAAGTTTTTTTTTCTAGTGTTTTTTTTCTTCTTTACTGACATGAATAGAGTGAATAGCACTTTCGCTGTCGCGAGAACAGTTGTATGAATTTGTTAGCACGCGGCAGTCTTCTGAATTATTTTACACTGTTATAACAAAGTGGAAGAAGGTCGTTTACGTGTTTATTAATTTGTATTTTTATTTTTTTATTTTTATTTTAGTTTGAGGATAGTTGTGCGTTAAGCTGAAAAACACTTATTTATTTACGTTTATATTAAATTACATAATGCAATGCACTGAAAACGTGTTGCTTTGAATTTACTAGGATTCAAATGTGTACATTGTTTGCACATGAATGAAATATATGACACCAACACAGTTAGTCTGGTTCATTGTATTTACTTTTGTAAGAATCGTGCAGTATTTTATACA